GGAGGGAGGGAGGGAGGGAGGGAGGCCGGGAGGCCGGCCGGCCGGCCGGCCAACCACTGTGTAATATTGTAGAGGCTGTGATGACTTACTGTTTCTCCTTCTGCAGAAATGATTCAAGGCAAATGATTTCTGCAGAAATCATCCAAGGGCATCTGGCATTTTCTAAGCCAGTGCCACTCAGCACTATCAGGAGCACATGAAACCCATCCTGGAACAATGGGAGGGATGCTTTACAGCAAGTGGGTTGTCAGAGCTTGCAGACCGGGGATCCCTGGGAGACAGTGAAGTGCCAGGACCCCTGCAGAAGGGCACCACACAAGCTACTCACCATGCTGCCTGTGGAGGGCACTCTCGAGCTCCATGGATGGCTCACAGACATCATCTGATGCACAGCCTAAGGTGAGATCAAGATCTCAGATGGATGGCAACACTGACCCTTATCTAGCACCTGAATGGTGCCAGTGTGCAGTTCTCGGGGACAGGAAGGGAAAAGTGGATGATGCCTTGAGGTCCTCACTCTTATCCCTCCCTAGTTGTCTAAGCTGGGAAGAGCACTAACTCACCCCACTTCTATTCTGTTTAACTTTAAATCACATTTCCACTTGGGTGTGACAGGAATCTGACAATGACAGGTGAGCTCCAGCCTCAGGTAAGGGAACTGAACCGAGAAGTGGCCTGGGGAACCCCTTCAATATCAAAGGCCAGTCAGTGGCACCACAACCAGAGGGCTGGGGTAGGAGGCAATTCTTTCTTAGGGGTGATGCTGTAGGATGGGCAAGAGGAGGGAAAAGAAAAAGGAGGAACTAGAACACCCCCCCACACCTGAGGAGCTCCATGGAGAGCAAGCCGAGCACCTAGCCACTCACCAGCTTCCCCCTGGGGAGAGGAATACCCCATGGCCCCTGCCAGCTGGCTTCTGTCTTGAGAAAAGAACATGGCTCGAGAAAGCCACATGTATGGCCACCAGAAACGAATGCGCAGGCCCAGGCAGGGCCATTAGGGGAAAGATCCCTCCTCCATCTCAGACTTCCTGCAGCCCAGAGCAAATCACCTTCACCGCACCTTATCTGTTCCTCGGGGTATTTGTCTCTCTTCAGTTCTAGGGACGCTGCTCCCTGTTTTAAGCGTCACCTTTCCTTTCTGCTGTCAAATTTCCCAACCCTTCCCCTGTCCCCACGCTTCCTCCTTACAGCCTTCTCTTCTCTCAGCCCTTCCTGGTGTGGCCCTCTTACAGCCTGCCTCTCATCGCTTCAGAGCAGGCCTGTTTACCCTGGCACCGAGAAATGTCTTGAGGACTATTTGAATCTTGTGCCTGCAGGTGTGCACACGCAGCCAGGGTGTCCTGGGAGACAGCCCGTGTGCAAATCTTCCGCTGAGCTCCGTTTCCAGCGTGGGAAACTTGCCCCTGGTGGGGCAGGGGTTTTCAGGTCAGGAAGCCTCTGATTGGGCTTCTCTGCCAGGCCGCTGCCCTCGGAGAGGAGGCAGCTGCCTCCTTTAAGCCAAGACCCCTCCAGCTCTTCTGGGACCACCTGGTTCCCCCATTGTCTAATGACACTGAGAGTTGAGTTACTGGGCCAAAGTAAAGCTGAGGCTGCACTGGTATCTGCGACCCAAAGCCTTCAAGGGCTGGCTCGGAGTTGGGTCTTCAGGAAGACCTCGGCCCAGCCTCTGAGCAGCCACACTCACCTTTGGTGCGGCCTCCTGTGTGCCGGGAGACGGGGGTGGAGGTGGAGGGGGCTGCCGCAGTGGCTGACGGACAGGTCCGGGAGCTGGGCTCCGAGGGCCAGGACTTTAGGGCAGGGTCAGCAGAGGCATCGGGACGGTCCACGCTGCCTCCATGTGGGAACACTCGCTTTGCTTTGAGATCCCCAGGGCCTGGGGTAGAAGATGACACTGAGGAAACAGGCCGGAAACCTGCGCCAAAGCTGGAAAAGCACACTGAGGCCCAAAGCAGGCACAGGAGCGCACGGAGACCAGAGAGACGCAAGTTGGGCGGTGGCCCCTGGGGGCTGCATTTAAACTCAGGGGAGGCCTGGGGGAAAGGGGCTGAGCGGCTGGCATTGGGTGAGTTGGGTAGCACAGGGAGAAGAGGATAAAGGAAATGCTGGGGCAAGTGGACCACACTTCCTAGCACTTCACAGATTTCCAATACTGCTAACAGACATCTGCTCAGGACCTCTCCAACCCGTCACCGGTACCACGTGTCAACCTGTCACCCAGGACAACTCCAACCTGTCACCCGGACCTCTCCAACCTGTCACTCATGCAACTCTACCCTGCCATGGTGGACTTTGATCACTGTCCCCCTCCTCCAATGGTTTCATGGCTAACCTCACACCAATGCGCTTTCTAAACAAAGAAGCCTTACTCTCTACATGGCAAGATGGACCACAAAGTGTTTTTGTTCTTTTTTTTTTTGGCCTCGCTAGTGTATGCTTTTCTTGAGCAGTGCTCTGTCAAGAACATGTACCTTTGTCACAATTAAGTAAAATCCTGTGTTTAAAAAAAAAAAGACCAGTAAGTGGGAGAAAAGAACGGGCTCTCCACATACAGTGACAAGCACCGATGCCAGCAAGGTGTTTTGCACACAGCCCCCTCCCCGGGTCTGGCTGGTCTTCACATGGAGATGGCTGGACCCCATCTCTCCTCTTGGCCGCTCAGCCTCTGAGCTTACCAGGCAATTACCAAGCTTATGCTCTGAAACGGAGGGACAATTTGGATTTTTGAATGGCAACCTTGATGAGAAGCAATTGGGGTATGGTGGAATGGATGAGGTGAATTGAGGATCCGGAGGTGGAGGTGGAGAGGACAAAGCAGGAGCAGGAGCAGCAGACACACACAGCACGACTCCCACAGCATGCGAGGAGAACGGCTCCAGGGACCACGTGTCATGTGGCCCTGGGCTCCCAAAGCAAGATCATGAGCTGAAGCGGGTGGCAGACAACAACCAACTTTACTGTTTTCGTAGCTATGGATTTATTTTTACAGTTACCTTGCTTCTATGGTGACACTTGCTTTCTAGGTACAATAACCTTTCTCCTTAAGATCAACATAACTGGCAAGTGCAAGCCAATGCTGAGGTAGTAGTAGAAGGCCCTGGGCCAAGTCACAAGGATGGTACAAGAATAGTGAAGCCAGGACACACTGCCTGCAGCGTGTAGGGGCCTCTCTGACCGTCATCTTCCCCTATTTTGGGGGTGGTGGTGATAGTGCTGATTTGTGTACCAATGTTGTTTCGGTCCACCATGTTTTAATTTCAGCCTCCAAAAGGCCAGAGTCCTAGCAGAGTCATAAAACCTCATTCTGGTCTGAACTCTGGCTGGGCAAAACCAATCCCATTACTCAAAATGTTTGAACAGAACAGAACCATCAATCCTTCAGGAGGCATCCTGCGTCTACGAAGGGCTTCAGGAACAGAAGCCATCCAACTCAGTGTGCTCAGAGAGAAAGAGGGCAGGGGCGACAGCAACTTAAAACTTGGCTGCTTACAAAAATAAATCTTAATAAACAGCAAAAAGCCATAGCCATTGGACGGAGGCTGCCTATTTTAGGAAGCAGAGCAACAGCTGACCACGCTGCCTTCACACGCAGGCAGGACAGAAAGCTGCAGGTGCAAGGGAGGGGGGCGAGCACACAGCGTGGGACTTACGGAGGACGGACATCCTGGCCCAAGGACATGGGCACGTATGTCCCGAGGGTCCCCTACAAGTGTGCTGTGCTGAAGAAACAGTCCAGGGAGTGCACAACTCATCTTCTATTTTGCAATCAGAATCCACGCTGGCTAATTTGCAACTGGGCTGAGGAGTAAGGGTACACTATGGGCCACGCGGCCTATAGAGGCTGGCAGGGTTTTTTATTTTGGGGGAGGTAGCGAGGAGAGAGTTGGTTGGCTGAATTTCAGAAATGGAGGAGACACGATGCAGACACATGGTAAAGGAAGGAGTCAGAAATCTCCAATGTCTGAGAGAGAGACAGGCTCAGTGGGAGAGGATGGGATGTCGGAGGAAGACCAGAACCGCAGGCGTTTAGAGAGAGCTGGATGGGCCGTTGGAGACTTGTCTTTGTCTTTGCTTTTGCTTCTCAAAAAGGGACTCTTTTTGCGTTGAGATGCTAAGTTGTGATCACCACCGGGATAAACCCAAAAGGAGGGAAAAAGAAATACAACAAATGAAATGAATTGATAATTACAAGGGAGTTTCAAATTAGAAAAATATACTTAGGAAAACCAGAATCCTGCCCAGCCGAGGACCGATGGGAGCGATGCCGGATACGCAGAGTGGAGCCGGGACTCGGTGAGTCATTTGTGCTCTGACTCAGCTGAGTGGCACCCTAAAGCTAACCATTTACTCACTCAGCACATAAGGAGAATTACACACTGGCTAAGGAGCCAATAGTTTAGATGATTTTTCAATTTCTAAGCGTTAAATTATTAAGTAAAAATGCTTATTAGTGTAGGAGCTGGCTTCTCTTACTCATCCAGCTTAATAACAGAGTCCCTGAGAGCTCGGCTCACTGCTCCTATTCCTGTTCAATGACCTTGGAAACACTTAATGACATGCTTTGGCCCACTAGCATGACACAGTATACTTCAAGTACTCGATAATTCATTCCTGCATTTCTAAAATCTGATGACTTAAAAAAAATCTATCTATCTATAGATATATATTTATATCTATAGATAGATATAAAGATATGTATCATATATGTTTGTTTGGGGTTTTTTTGGTCAGTCGTGGGGCCTGAACTCTGGGCCTGGGCGCTGTCCCAGAGCTCTTCAGCTTAAGGCGAGGGCTCTACCACTTGAGCCACAGCGCCACTTCCGGCTTTTTCTGCTTATGTGGTACTGAGTAATTGAACCCAGGGCCTCAAGCATGCAAGGCAAGCACTCTACTACTGAGCCACCTTCCCAGCCCTATATATGCATTTTTTTAAAGAAAGCTCTTTTTTTTCCTGCACCCAACATCTCAATGCCAAGAAAACCGATGATTTCCCTTTAGATCTTGGCTAACTTCTCCACTACCTGGCCTTTAAATTATAGGGTCTCCAAGGCAGACAGCTGCTCTAACTTCCAAATAGGTGTCCTATTAACATTAACCAACCTGATTTCTGATTCAGGATTAAAGGTGGATAACCAGAATCATCACTATTTTTTTAGCCACAGCACCACCTGGTGGCCACAGCCCACAACATAAAGTAAGAACCAGGCTTAGGGCAGCTCTAGGTAGGAGTTCTGTAGTTTGTTTAGCCTCTCAGGAACCAAAGCTACTTTAAACTGAGGCAAGCTGCTGGGGCATCTGATAAAAGATGTTACCACGAGGGCTTTCTGAGATCTTAGATATCTGGAGCATACGTTCAATGCACCTGGGATCTCCCAATAATAAGAATTGACCATAACTTATGACATACCACTACTCTGCCTGTCTCAATGGCGCTTGCTTTTGAATCTGGATATTCAAAAACCTACCACAGTGTACATGATAAATAGTATTTCTCATTCTAAAGTAACAAAGGCAGGCTAATGGAGTGGCTTGAGTGGTACACCAGCTGCTAGCAAGTACAAGGTTCTGTAATCAACCTCCATTATGGCTACTCTGACCCATATGTAGGAAATAACAAGAATGTTACTGTAAAACAATTGCTATAACACAGTCGTGAGTATCTACGGTCTACCTGGTGCACGACACCCTCAGGTAGCGGCGCACCGGTGTGGCCATACCCTTCCGTGATCAATGGCTTTCCTCTCCCCACTGCAGCCACCAGGGCTGCCCTACCTTTCCCTACAGGTCCGTTGTGGGCATCGCGCTCTTCACAGTTCGAGCCTGCAGAGGGGCTGTCCGAGTTCTCTGGCTGTGATCTGAGAGGCTGAGAGGCCGATGGCGACGCAGGGTCTGCGGACTCAAGCTGCCAGGGCGGGCTGTCTGCAACTGACTTTAACCGTTCTCTGGAACCCTCTTTTTTTGGCTTGATGAGTTTAACTAAGGCTCTGGCTCCAATCCAGTGGTTCTTCCTAGTTAGAGAAAGGTTTTAGAAGGCATAGTGTTCCCACACACCCCATTCAGTCACTGGACTCCCTAACATGGGCGGCATTTCCACTCAGCAGCCTGGGTAGTCTGGCCAATCACTGGGGGTCAGAATGATGGTAGCCATGTGCCTGGCACTGGTAAGGCTCTGGGTTGTTTCTAAACCTCCATACACAAATAACAAGAACAGGAAAAAGGTTAGGTGTGATGGCTCACACTCAATTCTAACTACTCAGGAGACAGATCTGAGGATTGTGGTTCAAAGTCAGCCCGAGCAGAAAAGTCCCTGAGACCATCTCCAATAAATTACTCAGAAAAAGCCAGAAGTGGCACTGTGGCTGAAGTAGTAGAGCACTAGCCTTAAGCAAACAGAGGCCCAAGAATAGAACCCAGGCTCTGAGTTCAAGCTCCAGGACTGGCAAAATAGAAACAAACAAAAAAACACATGATCATACGTGAGAATCTGGAACTTAGAAAAAGAGCGGAAACAGGTGGAATTTGGTCCTCAACCAGGCAAGGCGGGGGGGGGGAGATGAAAGGGAGTGCTGAGCACCATTAGCAGGCAACTGTTCTGTCAAAAAAGTCATCCTCAGGAACAAAGTCAGTCAGTGGAATAAGCTGCTGTTCCTCACTATTCTCTGGCACTGAGTGATCTGGACTACAGGACTGGGGGAGTCTGAATTCAGTCACTTTTCATTAAAGGACAGGTGATGAAACTGAAGCTTGCCAGAAATGCAGAGGACCATGTAGGGTACTGGGTTTCCACTCTTGAGTCAAAAGCTTCCTCTAACTGGGCAGTGGTGGCTCACACTTGTAATTCTAGCTCCTCAGGAGGCTGAGATCTGAGGATTGCAGTTCAAAGCCAGCCTGCGCAGAAAAGTCCCCAGGAGACTCTAACTATCAGACTCAATTAACTACCAGAAAACTGGTAGTGGCACTATGGCTCAAGAGTGGTAGAGTACTAGCCTTGAGCAAAAGTTCAGGGACAGTGCCTAGGCCCTGAATTCAAGGCCCACGACTGACCAAAAAACAAAACAAAACAAAACAACTTATCTGGGTGCTGGTGACTCACACCTGTAATCCTAGTTACTCAAGAGGCTGAGATCTAAAGACTGTAGTTCAAAGCCAGCCTGGGCAAAAATGTCTGTGAGACTTTTATTTCCAACTTACCACCCAAAAAGCTAGAAGTAGAGGCATGGCTCAAATAGTAGAGTGCGAGCCTTGTGCAAAAAAGCAAAGGGAGAGTAAGAGACTGAGTATAAGCTCATGTGTGTACACACACACACACACACACTCAAGTTCCTCCCATTCTTGTCTGTTATACATAAACTGAAGATCTCTCTCTCTCTCAGTTCCTCCCATTCCTGTCTGTCAAACATAAGATGACAACTGAAGATCTGCAATTCTGTGGCTCTGTAATTTAAACAGAGCCTCCTGGAAGAGTTCGTGGCCATTTCTACTTCAAGGCATGATTTCTGAGACTCGGGCGGGGACAGGGGAAGTGCTGCAGGCGGAGCTGGCAGTCTCCAGGAGCTGAGCCGGCCTCACAACCAGGGCCCGCTGTTCTCAAGTGTTTGAGGACAGTGGGGTGGGGCCAAGTGTCCTGTCCATTCTCCCTGTCTAGCACAGGACACTGTCATTCACATCGTGTTCAATCTGGAGACAAAACTTAGACAAAGAAACCTTGCTTACTTTAATGGCTCTGAGATCACGAGGTTTTCTTGCCTTTTCTAAGGGCTGGTGGCTAAATCAAGCCTGTGTCTTGGGATCAGCTGGTATTTGCCATCCCTCTCAGGAAAGACTGGAGTGTGTAGGGTGGGGATAAAAGTAGTCCTAACTACTTTCTCGGGTGATGTGCATGCATGTGGCCTGCTAGGTGGTGAAGGCGGGGCCTGGGGTGGAGGAGGGGAAGGGAATGATCTAGATGGCTCCCGGCTGCCCAGCCTCACGAAAATCATCTTTAAGTCACTGAATCTCAGATTAACTCACTTCTTTGGAGCAGGATCGTAGAACTTGTACTGATCCATGATTTTTTCTTCCAGTTTTTCCTTCTGTCTCCGCAGGGCATTCAATTTGTCACTGTGAATAGAAGGGAGAGAGAAACTACTCATCTAGTTTTACGTAGAACAAGTGAGTATCCTCACCAGCCCAGCCTGTGCCAGGGGCCAGCACTGAGACTCAGACCTGCGGTATTCCTTGCTGGCTGTGTTCAGCGGCCCGTACAACCCTCACACCACCTTGGGACCCAGCTCTGAGCGAGCGCAAGGCTCCAACGCTGCTCAGAGACTGTGGCCTTCTGAGGCAGGCAAGGTCATTCAGGACCCTTAGCATCCCAGGTGCCTATTAACACCGTCACCAAAAAGCTGAGTCAGGACTTGGGGCCTCCCCACACTGGGTGCCTGGTAATGCCTCCAGCGAAGTGGATGTCGCTCGGGGGCCAGACAGAGAAGACGGAGCAAAGCAAGGTGAGAGGCAGAGGAGAGGCGAGTGGGGTCTGCAGCAAGCCTGAGCCCGGCCCTGGCCGGGCATGGGGCTGAGGTTCGCTCACTCCCTGTGGGAAGAACACAGTCCCAAAGCCAGAGACTAGTTTGTATTTCAAAGTCCTGGGTGAGGGACGGGAGAGCCCTGGGCTGCCCCCGGCAGCAGCTTCTGTTGGACCCTAGGAGCCTCCTGTCTAGCCAGACAACTCAGGTGCCTGCTTTCCTTCTGTGCAGATGAGGTCTTAAGATGAAGAGAGCGTTCCTTCATTCTTGCCCAACCCTGGGGCTTTCCTAAGAGCTCACCACAGGGCTGCACTCTGGGAAAGGGGACTGCAGGGTCCCCAACCATCAGCAGAGCCCTTTGGAGCCTTTGGACTGTTGGTCTTGTGGCAGTGGGAGCAGGCCCCAGGACGGGTACCAACCCATTGATCTGTTGGACACGCTCTAATGCCAAAACATCACCCAGCAGCCTTCTGGGATGGGGCACTCAGGCCTGCCCCACCTCTGCTGGAAACCCTATCGCCTGGATTACAGACGGCCAACTTCCAACAGCTGTCATCTCTACCCCAAATCACAGTGTGAGTCCATGCACAATACACATCCTTCTCCAGGTGGCTTGCAGACGAAGCAGGCACAAGAGGCAGGTGCTCTGGTGCCAGGACAGCACGGGGTCAGTGACACGTCCCTCCACACACACGGCTCTTCTTGCTCATCACCAGGGGACGCAGGTTGGTCACCTCAGCACAGGGTGATGAAACCACCCCGATGAATATGGGCTACTCAATTTCGGAGCCACGAGGCTCCTGGGCGCCCAACCATGTGAAAACTTCCCAACGGATCCAATGTCTTTAGCTGGACACAGAAGCCTTCCACGGCTGAGCTCACCTCCTTTCCAGCCGATGGCTCCACACATTCCTAACACCCAGACCCTCTCTACCATGGTTATACCCCAGCTTCTCCACATCCGCCAGGACTACCACGCCTGCCTCCTCTCCTCCTGCAGAAGCAAATTTACGTCGCCTTTCCTTTCGGCGCCTTTGTGCGGCAGTCTGGCTGCAAAGGGACACAGTTCTGTTCATGTCTGCTATTCGCCTGTGGTTCCAGGCTCCTAGCACCTTCACTGGTGTGTGTATAGGGGAAGGAAGGGGATACACAGACACACATGTGCACACGTGCATGTGTACACAGGGACAACAAACCCACTTTCCATGCCGGCAAGGCAAGAGACTAGTTCTCAGCCTTCGATCTGAATTCTACCTGAAATGGTAGATTGCTTCCCTGAGATATGGCCTTTTGGTACTGGCTTATTGATTCCAAAGGCAAAGAAAGGAGCCTCCAATGCAGACAAAGCTTTTGAAGAAGCAAACGAAAGTCAGCCATTGCCATCTCCAGAAATTTGGAACATCCCCAAACTGCCCTTGAGATCCCGGGGGCCTAGAGCTGCTGTCTGTCCTAAATGTCATAAGCTTGGACAGGGAGGGGAAACAGGACCTCCAAGAAGTGGGTCTTATTGGCTGGGGGAGAGGTCCAGGCCGGCCCTGGGCATGCCCTTACATGTATTGCTTCTGCTCTTCATGGTACTGCTCCTTGCTCTCCATGTTCTGCTCCAGAAGCGTCTGGTTCTGCTGGCTCAGCAGCTGAATCTGGCTCAGGAGGTGATGGTTCTCCTCCTCCAAGTTCCCCTTGAGCCGGGAGAGCAGCTGCAACACAGACCCACAGAGGCTCAGACACCATCAGACCCCTGGGAGCCCTGCTTCCCAAAGAAGAAAAGGAGGGGCTGGGAAGGTGGCTCCGTGGCAGAGTGCTTGCCTCTCATGCATGAAGCCCTGGGTTTGATTCCTCAGCACCACATAAACAGAAAAAGCCAGAAGTGGTGCTGTGGCTCAAGTGGTAGAGCACTGGCCTTGAGCTGAAGAGCTGAGGGACAGCACCCAGGGCGAGTTCAGGCCCCACAACCAACAAAAAAGAAAAGGAAACAAGTGTGTGAAGCTGTTTATCTTGGGATTGTTTACATGAGCAAACCCAAGAGCCAGAAACACAGCCACGTTCCAAACAGAGCCTCAGCAGTACCCTTAGGGCAGGTGCCAACTGCAGCACGCTGCTACTGGACTCACACACAGCCGATCTTAGCTGAGATGGTCCAAGGATTAGACTCTCAGTACAAAAGAGGCTTAGTACGAAAAGGAACATCAGGTTTCTTGTTGACCATTTTTAAAGTGGATTACATATTGAGAGAGATTTTGGATACACCAGTTTGGGATATACTGGAAAGGAACAGGGCTCAGTGGTGAAGGGTTTACCCTGAGCTCCATCTCTAGCAACCGCCCCTCAAATTAATTTCATTTAAAAAATTGTTTTTAAGATGACTACTTGAAAATGCAAAACTGCATACATGATCTCCATTATTTGCTCTAAAGCAGTGAAACACTTCCGTCCAAAGCCAGAGAAGAAAGAGACTAAGCTTTCCAGTCCAGTGGTGTCTGTCTCACTCTGCCCTTGCAGTGTGAAAGTAGTCATCGCAACACATAAATGAATGAACAAAACTTTAAAGATGCTGCGTGTGTGTGCATGTGTGCATGTGCCCACGCTCTGATATTGAAGCTTGAACTCAGGGCCTCATACTCTCACTTGGCTTTTTCCTCTCTTCCATGTGAGTCATACCTCCACTCCTGGCTTTTCCCTGGTTAACTGGAGATGAGTCTTGCAGACTTTCTGCTCAATCTGGCTTTAAGCTGCAGTCCTCAGATCTTAGCCTCCCGAGTAGTTAGGATTATAGGTGTAAGCCCTCAGAAGCCAGCTCAGATATTTGACACTTAAGTTTCACATAACTGTCAATTGTCATAAATAATTATTATTCATTTGATGTCTTTTCTCCAACCATTAAAGAAGAGTTGAGCTAGGCTCCAGTGCTCATGCCTGCCTATAAAAGCCTGGGATCTGGGTATCACAGTTCAAAGCCAGACTGGGCACGAGAATCCATGGGACTCTTATCTCCAATTAGCTTCCACTAAAAGCCAGAAGTGAAGCTGTGGCTCAAGTGGTAGAATGCTAGCCTTGAGCACAAAAAGTTCAGGGTTAAGCCCCAGGACCAGCACCAAAAAAAAAAAAAAAAAAAAGTTAAAGAGTTTTCTTAGTTTGTGGGCTGACGATCAACTTTTGTTCTAGAACATTACTATGGGGCACCAGGAGGTCACAGACTTTGAAGGTACACACTGGGCTCCTATCCTTGGGACCAGGGACAAGGACGGGGTTCCCAGCTTCTAGGGTTACTGGTGGATTCAATGATATAATAAACAAGCACAATGCAAAACGCCCCTCACGCCACAGGTAGGAGTTGTCTCACGAGCTATTTTTACAGCTCTGACTTTACTGTACTAGATCACCATCCCGCACCTTGAATATTATCATCTATATGTCACATGTATGCAATGAGCAGAGCTGGAAGCAAAAAAATGGTGAGACTGTTGGATTACTTCCTTTGCTCAGAACAGTTTCATGATCGTCACTGCTGTATTGTTCAGATGATATGTACACATAAATTACCATGATAAAAATATGTAGGGGAATTACACTCCACTTGGGAGAAGCCTGCAAATTCCACCAAATCCAACCCAACTGATAACATCTGGACTTCCCACAAACAGGTGCGTGGGTGGAGGCAGCTGGGGGACAGAGCTGGGAGCCATAGTTCTGTGTTCCTCAGCTTCTGTGAGGGGCTGAACTGTGCCCCTTACCCCAAATCCACACACAAAAGCCCTCATCCCTCGTCACTCAGAAAAAAGGTACTAAGTTAAAATGTGGCTGGCCACACCCCCACACGGGCAAGTTTGCATCATTTCACCACAATAGGACAGGTACTGAATTGGGGGGGGGAGGGGAGGAGGAGGAGGAGGCGCTTCCATGCAGAGAACTCTTTTGTGGTAAGAGGACTGTGGGCACCAGTTAGTGGTCTCCATGGCACCTCTGCCCACCTCAGAGGGCAAAGGTCAGACAAGGAGGAGGAGTCTTCTGACAATTCCTACCAAACGAGGAGTCCAACCTCCTTTCACCTGCCCCTGGTCCGCTCTGCCTCAGGCTGCATGCAGTCTCAGAGCGGGCGCCCAGCGTGCGCAGTCTCAGAGCGGGCGCCCCGACGTGTGCTCTCCAAGAGCCGGCACCCAGCAGCCTCCCGGAGCACACGGGCTGTGGGCCTCACCTCACAGTGGTTGTCCAGCTTGGTGAGTGACAGGTCCATGCTCTGGTGCTGCTCCTTCAGCTCGTCGAAGCGCGCCTGCCAGCGGTTCAGCTCCAGCTGCGAGGTGTTCAGGGAGGTCTTGAGCTCCTTGGTGTGGGCGTGTAGCTCCTCGTACTCCCCCTTCAGCTGGTGGTGCAGGAAGTTCACCCTGGGGGCGGGGGGGCCGCAGGGTGATCGGGTGGAGTGACAAGACGCTGGAGGGAGCCCCGGGGCGGTGGATGGGGTTGCAGTGTGCCAAGGGGAAGGCCCGGGGTATTGGCTCTATGAGTGCTCTGCCCACGGCGGCAGCTCCACAGCCTCCAGTAAAGCCACTGCAGGCTGAACAAAATCGTTGGTTTTCAAACCACGTTCTCTGGGGTTTTATGAGGGTGCCCTTGGGGATACCACATTGGGCCTAGAGGGAAAACAAATAGGCATGCTCAGACCCCAGATTCAGCTATCTTCCCTATATTACGGCATTGGCATCTTGGCACACTTGGAAGAAAAAAACTTCTGTCTGGGCACCCAGCTCTTCTTCCCAATCCTATGCCATATTCTCATTTCAACTCCTAAGATACACATGCTATGACAAGATGCCAGAGAACCGCATAAACCCACTAACACAGAACCTTCTGGCTACTTGGGAGCTTTCTTGTTAGAATGCTCAAAGTGGGGGGCTGTGGATTCAGTTTGTATCCACATGTCTGTGTGTGGAAGTGAACGGGTACCTGGGCTTGAACTTAGAGCCTTGAACTCTTACTCAGAGTTTTTTTTTCTCACAACTGATGTTCTACCACTTGAGTCACAATTCCAGTTCAGCATTTTGCTGGTCAATTACAGATGGAGTTTCACAAACTCTTCTGCCTGCACTGGCTTTAAATTACAATCCTCTACGTCTCAGCCTCCTGAGTAGCTAAGAGGATAGTTATGAGCCACTGGCATTTGGCAACACACACATAGGCCTTATTTGGCCTGTTTCATTAAATGGACAAAGTCCACACCTAGATATCTAACTTTTCTGAAAGAGTATAAATAACAGAATAACTGGAGAGCCTGGGAAGATGCCAGGTCTGTGTGTGCTGCAGTCCGGCCACAGCTGTCCTGATCTGACAGAGTATAAATAACAGAGTAACTGGAGAGCCTGGGAAGACGCCAGGCCTGTGTGTGCTGCAGTCCGGCCACGGCTGTCCTGAACTTTCCACCTCACTGTGCCCGCCCATCGGGGCACTGGGCCACCATGTGCTTCATCTGCCTGGCCACCGCAGGCTCCGGAGTTTGTAACTGTCGGTCATGTCAACACAAGGACACAGAAGAGGCTGGGCTCTATCTAGCTGGTCAAAACTTTGGGAAAAGATGAGACATGGAGTCAACTTGGACTCTACCACTACATAAAAGCATTAACCTTGGGCAAGTCATTTCCAAGTCATTTCAACTCCCTGAGCCTACTGCCTCAGCCATTAAAGAAAGGGGGAGGGGGATGGAGAGAGCAATAGCTGAAGTGTTGATTCTAAATATACACACTAGTTCTAGTCTATAAAATCTCTGCCAACACTAACTCTGCTGAGGGAAAGCATGAAATCGACATGGAATCCTGTTTTAGGCAGCTTCTGTTTAAAGGCGCCTTCGGTAACATACCCACCACCCATGGCACAACACCATAGTTCTTGCCTGACTCACAGCTGATCGAATTTCTCCATTAGGCACCTCGCAGCCTTTCTGCATACAGGGACAGCAGACAATCCTTCAGCACTGTGCGACCCAAAGCACAAACCAAAAGCCAAAAACCCCAAACCAACAAACACAAAACCTCGCACACAATCAGGTACCATGAAAACGATTTTTGTTGGTGACAGAGGGAACCAGGCTGAGCACAGCCATGTCTGGGGTCTTGGTTATCTTGGTTATTTTGTGGCTCTGCATGTGCACAAAGCCCCACACATGTTGACTTTGGGGCTGAAAATAAACGCTAGCAAGTAGGTGAGTGAGCGGGTACAGAATCCATGAATGAAGAGAACCAGCAGCGTCTCCTTCCTGGGACACCGTGGATTTGTGTTCGGTGACGAACACAGCCGGACCCATAAAGCCACCATGCAGAGCCCTTCCCCCAGCAACTGGCAGGGTTGCCCTTGGCCTCCCTTCCTAACAAGCATTGGACAGCACATGGTTTGTAAATACACGCAATCCCGGGAACCCGCAGGCTGCAATGCGGGGCTGGTGTGCGCGGGAGCGGGCGCCAGCCACTGCCCAAGGCTCTCACCGGTCTAGCTCTCCCCGCAGCCTCTGGTTCTCGCCCGTGGTGACGGCATTCACCCTCTGCTCCTGCCGCAGCGCCTCCCGCTCGGTTGTCAGTGCCTTCTCCAGCTCGGCCAGCTCGGCCTCGTGCTTCAGCAGCTCGCCATGCCTGTGGAGCAAGACCCAATGGGAGTCTGCCACTTCCTCAAGGAGAGCACACAGGACTGCACTGGAGTCAATGGGGGCTGGCAGGGGTAGGAGAGAAGCCCGGCAAGGGTCCCTCTGGAGTGGACCTTTCTTGTCACAGCAGCCCTCTCCCCTTCAGCTACCTGAGAGCACCAAGGCGACACTCAAATTCCACATCCTTCCCTTCTAGGGAATGACAATTAAGTTCTGAGGTGGTTCACCAGGCACAAACAGACCTAAGGAAACCACAGAACTAACAGCCCAAATCCACAGTAGCAGCTAATCCTCCCTCCAGTGGAGAGCCATTTCCTTATTCCTGTCACATCCTCCTTGGGAACAGAGATCTGCCTAAGGACTGTAGGGGTGGGGATCTTGTGTGTGCACACACACACACACACACACACACACAATCACACACTCATTCGCTCACACAGGGCCTGAATTTTCTTCTCACTTAATCCATGCAGGCTGCATCGCTGTCTCTAGGGGGCAGCAGAGCACATGGATGGAAGCCTCAAATTCCACCAGTTCCTCATTGTGCTTGGAAACATCTGTGTTCACAGATGAACCCCAGGGGTACACACAGCTAGAAGGCACAAAGGGTCTGAGGCGCAACCCTTCAACCAGCCCATTCAGACAAACCCTTCCCTATGCACTCCCCTCCCTCAGCTGGCAAAGGGGTATCTAAGAAGCCACACCTGCCCATACCAGCTGTGTGGGTACCATCTCTCGGGGCCCAAAGCTGTAGGACACCAACTAGGAAACCTACTTAAAGGTAACTGTACGTAAGGCCTTTAGACCTGGGGCAGAGGCTGTGGCTGGCTTTCAGAGCTGGACTTTTCTCATCCATGTTAATGATTTTAAACAAATTGTGTATGCTTGACAAATAAGGGCCGTGGATGTTAAGTTTGCAACTCTATTTCCAAAGTAACCAGCCAAAAGAAGGTGGGAAGCATGGCTCGAGTGGTAAGAGCACTTGCTGAGCAAATGTGTGGTTCTGAGTTCAAAATTCACCATCACAATAGAAAACAGTGGGGGCAGGGGAGGCAGATATCGTAGACCATCAGTAACTACCCAGTTGTAGGGTATACTCCAGGGGTCCACAGCATGACACACAGTGAGTAATTATGAGTTTGTCAAATTCAATGTCAAAGACTACAGAACCATCTTTCCTGTGTGACAGACACCTACAACTCTTAGACCCCTGTCTCTGATGCACAGGACCAACACTGTCTCCAGCTATGCTTCCCACCAGCCAAATGCCCCGAGCAGCTCCTGGAGGCTGCACCCAGCAAGCACCTACAGAGAAATGGGAACTTGACCTTCAGGGCCAAGTCCACCAGCAAACTCCTTCCCCTGTAAATGCACTGTGAATCTAAGATACTGTTACACCATCTATATTCCCGAGTTGGTGACACATAACTCCTTTCACTGAGAGACATGGTACCAGGGATACAGCAGAGGTCTAACACATAAGTGCTGCCTCGCATAAAGGAGGAAGGAAACAGGAAGCACATGGTGGGTAAAGCAACCAATGTCGGCTCCACCCACAGAACCACAAGCAGGCTAGCCCGCAACCCTGGACTTTCTTCCTTCTTACCTCAAGTGTTGGGGTTATTGGACCCTGGCTCTGCTGACTTTCTATATATTTAAAACTTTCCAGCCAGGCGCCAGTGGCTCATGTCTATGATCCTAGCTACTCTGAGGATCGCAGTTCAAAACCAGCTAGGCAGGAAAGTCTGTACTTTTATCTCCAATTAACCACCAGAAAACCAGAAGTGGCACTGTGGCTCAAAGTTGTTGAGTGCTAGCTTTGAGCGCAGAGCTTAGGGACAATGCCTAGGCCCCAAATTCAAGCCCCATGACTAACGACAATGACGACAATGATGACAACAAAACAACAATAACAACAACAAAACTTTCTATAATCAAAGGGGTTTTTTGGTTTTTTTAAAAAAAAGACAAAAGTGTCATTCCCGCCGACATAAAAGAGGCAGGCCGAGGAGCCATGGTAGACAGAGCCTGTACACTGGTGGCCTGGTCCCTGGCTGAGAAAGGAGAGGGAGAGAAAGAGGGGAGGAGAGAATTCTGCAGAGACAAAGGTCTCAAGCACCCATGCCGGCCCACCCCAAACTGGGAAGAGCTACCACATCCTCTCTCCTGAGGGGCGCCCTGCCACTCAGTCCTCAGCTATACAAAGTTCCAGCTGCTTCTTCCCCTTGAGAAAGCTCAGGCACCCCCACAATGGGAAGCAGCCAGCCAACAGGAATGATGGGGGCGGGCCAGAGGTGACCGCTGGTCCCTGGGGCAGCCGACAGGCTCAGGGCACCAGCCTGGCTCCTGTCTAGGCCATACCCTCAACCCCCATGTCTCCCCTTTTGCCCTAAAGGTCTTTTATTTTCTCCCCATCCTGGCATTCCTGCCCCCCCACCAGACCCTACCTCTGGTCCCCAGGCCTCCGCCCTACTCCCTAAAGGGCTTACCTCTCCTTTGAGGTCCCCCAGACCCTTTCCCTGGCCTTATCAGACCTTACCTCTCCCCGAGCTCCCTGTGCTCCAGCTCCAGGTTCCGGTGCAGGGTCTTGAGGCAGCTGTGCTGGCGGATGAGGGCCTCGTACTCAGAGGACTGGCGCTCGTGCAGGGTGACCAGGTGCTCGTGGTCCTGGAGCAGGGCCTCGTAGACAGCCGCCAGCTGCTCCTGCTGCCGCTGCAGGCCCTCGTGCTCCGCCTCCTTGGCCGAATGCTGGCTCTGCAGCAGCGTGTACTGCGCGCTGAGCGAGGCGCTCTGGGAGCTCAGTGTGGAATTCTCCACCTGCCGTCAACAGAGCCCCACAGCAGTGAGCCAGCCAGAAAGCGGGCCCAGCTCCACCCCAGGACAGGTCCAGAGGGCGGCTCTACCAGCACCTAGGACCTGCTTGAGGAAGGGGAGAGCAGCACATATCGACCACGGGATGGGGCTGTCCCTCTGAGCTACTCTCCAGAAATGACATGGCCTCTCTCTGGATGCCACTGCATGTGCCCTCACTGCCCACTGAACATGCGCAAAAGAGCCCATTTCTAAAGCCTGCTGCATCCAACAGCTTCCAAAACCATGAGAAAACGGAAGAGGAGTCAGTACTGCCCTCATACTAAAGCCAGACAGAAATAATGCAACAAACCAATATCGAACCTTTTTGCCAAAGTGTGTCCTGTTTATTTTCCCCACCCTTATGTTTTCAGAAACTGCCTGAAGAGCACCATTCATTTTTCCACCATTTACTAATCACAAATAAAATCAGCATGCTCGGTGGCCGGTCCAGAACACGGGCTCTGCTGGCTGCTTCCAAAGCAGGGAGCCAGTTCAGAGCCCACCTCCCTCGTGGGAGATGAAAATTCACAGGAGCCGAGGCTTCCGTACAAAAGCCTGGCCAACTACTTAATCAAACTTACTTAACCCTTGACTCTCTTTCCTTAGTCATTCTTAATAACATTTCCAAGAATAGACTTTAGAAAACCTGGGTAAGAACATAAGAAAATTCAGAGACAGGAAGATTTTAGCTTGTGCAGCCACAGGTTCAACCATTAAAAAAAAAAAAGCGTATGCGCCTATAATCCTTGCTACTCAGGCGGCTGATATCTGAGGATGGAGGTTCAAAGCCAGCACTGGCAGGAATGTCTGAGACTCTTATCTCCAATTAAAGCCAGAAATAGAGCTGTGGCTCAAGTGGGAGAGCACTCACTGTGAGTAAAAAAACTCAGGGTCAATGCCCACGCCCTGAATTCATGCCCTAGCAATGGCACACACAAGCACACATGTACACACGCACAAATTCACATGCATGTATGTATACACACACATGCATGCTACCTCATGCGCCCTCACCACCTTTACCACCTTGGAAGAACCCAGCCCCCAGTACCTGCAGCCTGGCGGTCTGAGTCTGCAGCGTGGTGGTATGCTCCTGCAGGAAGGCGCTCTGCTTCTGCAGTGTAAGGATCTGGCTGCTGAAGGCCATGTTCTGTGTCTCCAGGTGCTGCACCTGCTCCTTCAGCAGCTGCTTCTCTGCCTGCAGAGCGGCATTCTAGCAGATGGGGAAGCAAGGCCAATCAAGCACAGGCAGGGAAAGCTCCACCTGGCCCGGAAACTTGGGCTACATCAAGCCCTTGAGAGAGGACTCAGCCCAAATGACAGGGACCACCAGATACAGGAAGTAATGGGCGCTCACCAGAAATTTTTCAAAAACAGATCACATATCACAAGGGACAACACTCAGGACCAAAGCGGAAGGCCTGGGCACACTGGCATTAAAGCCATTCTACCTTTTTTCTCTTTAATACTCCCCCCCCCTTTTTTTTTCCTGGAGAACAAACTGAACGTGGGTTTCTGTGAGCTAGAGCTACCTCCTGGGAACTACCACCACCCCACTTCCCTCACAGGACATGCAGTCCAGTGCCCGGCTGGAGTTCCTTGCCCTGAGACGAACGAGCCACTTCCCAGTGTGCAGCACCACAAAGACCACATCCACTATGCTACCATTATGTCCAGGCCAGGAGTCAGGACTGGGGGCTACAGGCAGGTGCTGTTCCTTATTAGCACGGGACTTTGGGAGAGGCTTTTACATTGTCTCGGTCCTCTCATCTGTCAAATTATGAAAAGCATGAAAATGGATTTCATGAAGTCACTGTTGGGAATCCAATGAAATCAGAAGTGTAAATGTGCTCTGGCAAGCCTTTTCTAATATGGGATGGATAGAAAACGCTATTGGATTTTCCAGCCCTTCCATCTCTATTTCTTTTTTTTTATTTTAAATTCTTTTTTTTTTTTTTTGGTCCGGCTGTGGGGCCTGAACTCTGGGTCTGGGCGCTGTCCCTCAGCTCTTCAGCTCAAGGCTAGCGTTCTACCACTTGAGCCACAGCGCCACTTCTGGTTTTTTTCTTATGTGGTGCTGAGGCATCGAACCCAGGGCCTCAGGTATGCAAGGCAAGCGCTCTACCACTGAGCCACCTTCCCAGCCCCTCCATCTCTATTTCAACCACTGAAGGCTGCTACTGTGGTAGGAAAGCAGCCCAGACAACACAAAGGATGTGGCTGTGTTCCAATAAAACTTTATTTGCAGCTAGGCACTAGTGTTGGCTCACACCTGTAATCCTAGCCACTCAAGAGGCTGAGATCTGAGGATCAGAGTTTGAAGCTGCACCCAGGCAGACAAATCTGAGAGACTCTAGTCCAATTAATCACTGGGAGCAGAGCTGTGACTCAAGTGATAAGAGCACCAGACTTGAGCAACAATGCTAAGGGACGGTGACCAAGCCCTGAGCTCAAGTCCTAGTAACAACTCTCTCTCCCTCTCCTTTTGTCCCCTCCCACCCCCACAAGAACCATGCAACCTGTACAGGGTTGCAGCCTGAAAGCCACACTACAGAAACAGAGGCTGAGTCTTATCCTGTGAGAAATGACTGGCCACAGAGACTGCAGTGGTACCTTCTGTGCTAGAACTCTGAAGGGTCAGCAAATGAACAGGTGGCTATGGGACTCCGCCAGGACAATCCAGGGATCTAAACCTGATAACCCTCCAGACTCTGTCTCATCCCACGTTCTTTACAGAAATGCTATGGTGTTATCAGGGTGCCTAAGAAGAGGACGGGCCCCCTGAGCCCAGTGCCAGGCTGGCGACTCACGTTGCGCTCCAGCTCAATGGCCCGGTCCTTCAGGCGGAGCAGCTCCATCGTGGCCTCCTTGTGGCTGGGTCCCCAGACCTCCTCTTCCTGGTGACCAGCGAGTGCCTTGGCCCCCGGGTGCTTGAGGGAGTTCTGTGAGGGCACAGGGTCCCCCTGGGTCCGCTTGAGCAGCTCACGCTCCTCCTTTATCTGTGGGCTCAGTGACAGGGAGCAGTCAGGCAGGTGGGAGCCTCGCTCGGAGCCCGTTTGTGGCTGGAGGTCCCCTTATTTCCTGGAGCCACACAATCCAGCACTCTCCTTTTGCCACGTTGCCCAGGGAGAGCAGGACTCGCCCCCCATGCCTAGCCCTGTCTCCATCTGCTGACTGTGGCAGGCTCTCTACTTGCCTGAGCCTCTACCATCTGTGCCAGAAACCAGAGGCTGAGGTTCAGGCACGGGGTGACATCACAGGTCCCCAAGCCTCTGCCGATGCCAGAACTGCTTTGTTCCAGGTTCCGATTCAAACCCACAGCCTTGGGCTCCAAAAGGTGGTTAGGGGAGCGCTTGTGGAGAGTACGCATGCGTCTGCATGTGGGGAGCGTGTACACGTGTGACAGGAACCCGGCCCAGGCGCGGCACGCATGTGGGGATCAGCGCGTGCAGATGCCTGCGTGCAGACATGCACCTCACAAGCCTCTGTGCTGCCTGAGGGCTCCCATGACCCCGCACACATCTGCTTGAGGCCTGGACCCCGCACATCCCACCTGGCAGACCCGGGATGCGCTCAGCTGCTCCTCCTGCCCCGGCATGCCTCTGGCTCTGTCCTGTCTGGCCTGAGTCAGCCTGATGGTGGCCCCCTGCCTGCCCCAGGACAACCAGGCTGCCCCCCTTAGCTATGCAGGCAAAGGGCTGGGGCAGACGAGGCAGAGACCTGCCGAGGGGGTCCAGCTCCGCACCGTCAGCACTCACCATCTGTAGCTCGCTCTGTAGCTGGTGATTAAGACTGGCTTTCTCCTCCACCTGCGCTTCTAAGAACACAATCTTTTCTTCTTTTATGGCCAGTGCTGTTTTTAATGCAGATTCATTTCTGCCCTCCAAAACTTTCCATTTCCTGAGGAATACAAAGATAAGTTATCACCGTTGATGCCCATCCCACACCAGCCACTCTCCTCCTCCTGTTCAGCTGCGTTCCCGTATGACCTGTAGTGGGTGGCCCGGGGGGGAGGGCGCTGGTAAGCCAACCCCCCAGCCCCCATCCCTCACCATATCCTTCAGCAAGCACCCCGTGACACCCTCGCCCCAGATGCCACTACCACATTTACCAACACTGCCTTAGGGAGTGGAGTGTCTGTGGTGTCATGACCACGTTACAGAGGGGGAAGTCAAGTCTCAGAAAGTTAAGAGATTTGACGAGGCCCACCAACCCTCCCACCACACTGAACAGGCATCCAAACTAGCAGGCCTTGCCTTATTGATTACAAATCTAGGAAAGGTCCAAGGTATACAATTGCCTTGAAACAGAAGACTACTTAAGAAAGCATGGCAAAAGCTGCAGCAGTCACACGGAAACTAAGATGCGCTGGCTGAGGGTGTAGCTCAGAGGCGGAACAGCTGCCAAGCCTGCACAAGCTCTAGGTGACATCCCCTACATCACTCCTCTCTCCCCAAAAACACACATTACAAAAAAATATCGTCGGTGAGGATGGGAGGGAAGAACTGGAAGAAAGCGAGAGAAAGGGGCTGGGAAGGTGGCTCAGTGGTAGAGCGCTTGCCTTGCATGCCTGAAGCCCTGGGTTTGATTCCTCAGCACCACATAAGCAAAAAGAAAAAAGCCGAAGTGGCGCTGTGGCTCAAGTATTAGAGCGCTAGCCTTGAGCGGAAGAGCTGAGGGACAGCGCCCAGGCCCAGAGTTCAGGCCCCACGACCAGATCCAAGAAAAAAAAGAGAGAGAAAGGATGACGCTGTCCAAAAAGAAATACACTCATCACCTGACTTATGCAACTGTAACCCCAGCACTTTTATAGCAATAATTTAAGAAATTAAAAATTTCTCCTTTTATTTCTAAGCTCCAAGAGACAAAACCCTAAAACCCCAACCCCACCCCAACCCTAGCATAGAACCCATGAGACTCTCATCTCCAATGAGCCACCAAAAAGCTGGAAGGAGAGCTGTGGCTCAAGTGGTCAAGTGCCAGTCTTGAGTAAAAAAGCTTAGGGACGGTACCCAGGCCAGGTTCAAGCCCTAGGACTGGCAGGTGCACCAAAACAAAATGAGAAACACCAAAAAAACCCTCCCTAGTCGTGAAGAGTCATGGAGGCCTTGGGCCAAGAGCAAAGATGGCTGAGACCAGGCGGTGGAGCGCAGTGCTACTGCGCAGAGGTAATTCTCACATGTCGCCGTGACTGTTATCATCCTGTAGTAGCAGCTCCTTGCTGAGGCCGACCTTCTCCAGCTCGCTGCTCAGCTTGTCCAGCTCGCTGCTCAGCTGCTGGCTCTTCAGCTTCTCTAGAACCAAGTCCTGCAAGAGAAGACACACAAATGTCAGCATGAGGGAGGCCGGGGTACGCAAGCCTCATCTCCAGTCAGCTCACTGACCGGGAGGGGTGCCTGCCAACCCACCTTGGGGTGGTGCTAAGCAATGGTGTGCAGGTGGCCAGGTATAAGTGGAAAATAAATGTATTTATTTTCAATCTACCAAGGGGTTTGTGGGGCTGTAACCCGAGTATTAGATCGAGGAGTGTCTGTGCAGTCATGCCCAGGGAAGTGCTGGACTGCGAAGCCAGCAATGTATTGTCGGGAACAAGGTAGATAGCGTGTAAGGCCACCCAGTGTGACTGAGGAATCTCTGTCTAGCATCCAGGAAACCCCTAAGGCAAACACGAAGTTTCCTTTAGTGAAGTCCCATCAACAGCCCCTCCTGCCACACCTGTGGCCAGCTCACCTCTCTCAGGGTGGTCAGTGTCCTTGTGTGCATGGTGACCTGCTTGGTGAGGTCCCTGTTGTCCTTCTCCAACTCCTTCAGCTTGCCAGCCGCGTCCCGGCAGCGGGCCAGCTCCTTGTCCAGTGCGCGGCTCTCCTTCTCGGCGGCCGACAGCTTGGCGGTGCTGTCGTCCAACACAGCGTCCTTGAGCTCCACCTGCTGCCACAGCCGCTTGGCCTCCTTCTCCAGCTGCTTCTTGTCCTTCTCCAGCTGGGCCACCTCCTGCTCCAGGGCCTTCCTGTCTACCTCGGATCTCTCCAGCCGCTTGTTGGTGAGCCGCAGGGCCTCCAGGTCACGCCGCAGGGCCTGGTGCTCGGCCTCCAGCTCGCCCAGCTCCCTCTGCAGGGCCTGCGACTGGTGGCCGCTGCTCTCCAGGCTCTGCTGCAGCCGCAGGTTCTCGGCGCTCACGCTCTGGTAGCTGAGCTCCAGGCGCTCCGACTTCTTGCTCAGGGTCTGCAGCAGCTCCACATTCTTCCGCAGTTCCTCCTTCTCCCGCTCCAGCTGCTGGTTCTCCCTCTCGATCTGGGCCATCTTAGCGCTGGTGAAGCGCATGGTCTCCACCATCTTCCGCAGCTCCAGGTTCTCCTTGTCCAGCTGCTTGTTGTCTCGCTCCAGGCCCTCGAGCTGCACAGTCACGTTCTGCAGGGTGTCCAGAGACTTCTTCAGAGTCTGGTTCTCCAGCTCCAGGCCCTGGCTCTCGTGCTCCAGGGCCTCCACCTTCTCTGTGACAGTCTTCAGGGAGGTCACCTTCCTGGTCAGCTGCTCGTTCTCCTTCTCCAGCTGGTGCAGCTCCTTCTCCAACGTCTCGGCCCGCTCCCCTTTCTCCCTGGCCTTCTCCAAGTCCCGGTGCAGCTGCTGCTTCTCCAGCTCCAGCTGGCTGAGCTTGCTGCTGGCCTCCGCCACAGCCTGGTGGAGGGCTCTGTTCTCCTTCTCCACATCCTTCCCGCGGGCCTCGCCGCTGCCCTGCGACCGCTCCCTCAGCGACCACACGGCCTGGTGGAGGTGGTCTTTCTCCTGCTCCAGATCCTTGATCTATGGGAAAGCACCAAGGCGGTAGGGATTTGGGCTCCCAAGGGGGCCTAGAAACCGAACACCTCCAGTGATCAATCACCTGACTACGCAACCAATCAGATTCCACTGATCCTCTCATGCAGGTAAGAGGGCACAGGTCTCAGTGTCGAGACGGTGATGGGGGAGAATGATGGAAGAGGTGACGTTGATCAAGGCTGCCCTGTATTCATCATCTGACTTGTTCAATGAAAAACCCTTTGGACAACTACTTAGAACAAAAATAAAGTAACATAAATGAAACACAAACCTGCACCCAGGGCAACCTTCCCTCTCTCTCCCTTGGTCTTTGTGGCCCATCTCTGCTTAGCTCTGTGACCTCTTCTCAGACATCCTCCCTCCACTTATTGTTCCCAGCTTCTTCCTACCACAAAAGGTTCCTGCTGCCTCCTCGCTCTCCACCCTTCCTCCTTCCTGGGCCTTGAGGATGCCAGCAGCCACCGTTAGGCTCTCCCAGTGGGAGGACAGGCCCTGCGAGTTGCCCAGGGTCTGGGCTATGGCTCTAGGGAGGGACCTGTGGAGCTGGGTCACTGTCCAGCGTAAAATGTCCGGCTGCCTCCTTCCCTTCCACAACAGGCTGGGAGCAAAACCGTCCGTGGAGCTGGGTGCCTGTGACTGACGCCTGTCATCCTAGCTATTCAGGAGGCTGAGATCTGGGGAGCCCGGTTCAAAGAAAGCCCGGGAAGGAAAGTCCATGAGACTCTTATCTCCCATAAACCACTGGAAGTGGCACTGTGGCTCAAGTGGTAAAGCGCTCTCCTTGAGCTGAAGAGCTCAGGGACGGCGCCCAGGCCCAGAGTTCAAGCCCCACAACTGACAAAAAAAAAAAAATGCACCCTGCCTTCCCTCACCAGCCTAGCAGACACTGCTGCCCACGGACCAGGAGGCTGGGGAAGTTTTGGCCACAATCCTTAGCCTGGCCCCTCCCAGGGCCAGTGTCCCACGAGAGGTGGGAGGTGTCCCCGGCAGCCACGGTGAGTACTGCCTACCCGCCGGGCCTTGTCAGCCTTCAGGGCCTCCATGTCACTCTGCAGCTGCTCCTTCTCCCGGATCAGCTCTTCGCTGAGGGTCTCCAAGTCTTGGTGGCTTTGCTTTTCTCTCTCCAGCTGAGTCTGCAACTTGTCGATCTGCAGAGCCAAAAGATCAAGCTGAATGCTCAGGCTGCGTTCTACGACATGACAAGAACTCCTTGGTGTCGCCCGAGTCCTGGGAGAGGCCTTGGTGTTGTTCTACACCAAACTCCTGACACTGGACGGATACCTCACAGCCCACTGTGGGCACTCCAGAGCCCCGTGGGGCAGCCACATGCTCAGAGTACCACGTCTTCCGCTGCTCTGTGTCAGACACTGCGCACCCCAGGCCACCTCTTCTATATGCCCTGCCAGGAGGCCATCTCTCCATCCTCCTTGCCGCATTGGAGAGATAGCAGCTCAGAGGCCCATGCTCTGTCACCACCAGCTGAATCTGCCACCAAGCCCTGGCCCAGGCCAGACCACACAGCATTGGGCCTAGACAAACAGCTTTCCTCCAGACACCAGGGTGGACCTGGGCCGGAGCCTCCTAGAACACAGAGCTACCGGAATGCCAAGAGGCAGACCGGCACAGCAGGGCCTGCAATCCGGTGCCCTGGCCCGCCTGGGCTGCCCTCTGCCCGCACACCAAGCTCCCGCAGCCCAACAGGATCGATGCTGGTCTTCCCCACTGACTATGCGGCTGCCCCTGAGCTTCCGTAGCTGACGATCAGGGCCACCAATATCTGTCACGCTTGGTCACAGCACCTAACACAGAGTAGGTACAACGCTGGTAGCTGGCCCTTCCCTACAGACCCCTGGGCCCCATCCCTCTCAGTTTCCCTGGTTTCTGACTGGGTGAGTCTGGGGCAGAGCTGCAGGCCTGCGCTTTCCATCTGTGACGCGCTGACTCACGCACAGCCCTGGCTGGGATGGCTGCGCTAAGATGACGGACCTCTGGGAGAACCACTGCATCCAGGCGGAACCTTCAGGGCCACGACACCCGAGGGACCCTGTGAGCAGCAGGGGCGGGGCCTCTGTTCTTACTCTGTTATCCAGCTGGGGCCTTGCTCAGGCTAATTATGTAAGCACCCCAATCCTGAGTGGCTCCACCTCTCCTGAGTCAGGGGTCACCCAACTTTACTGCCTCTTCGGACTCTGCACCCCTCAACTCCCACAGGAGAAACTGGTCATGGACTCTACCAGTGGGACGGGCCCCCATAACCCAACCTGGGGACCCCCATTCAGCCAGGGCTGCCCAGAAAAAAGGCACTGTGATGTACCATGGACAGCTTTCTCCTAAAACCAAGAACCCCCTTCTCGCCTTCCTATCTCTGCCTGTCCTTAGCACAGAGCTGGTACTCAGCAAGGAGGGATGCAGTTCTCCCAGAGGGAGGAGTCCTCCCCTCCTGTTCAAGGTCTTGATTTTCCTCACTCTCTCTCCCTCCACCAGTGTTGCCACCAGGCCCTTCGCCCTGCTGTTACCTTCTCTCCCAGGGGAAGGCTGTGACGCCTTTCTCACAGGATTCCTGTAACCTGCTCACTTGCGCCCCACCTCAGTCTTCCCTCTTTTGCGGTTCTCCCCCTCTACACTCCAGTCCCTCCTTGAAGGACACGGGGACCCTGAGAGAGCTCCCTGGCTGCAGGCCCACGTGACCCAAGGGGGAGGCTGTCCACCCTCCCCACAGCCCAAGACACCTGCCCAAGGGTGGCCATTCTTCCTTGGCTCTGGGAACGAACTCCTGTGACATCCATCTAAACTCGCAGACACAGAGGAAGGAGACACATCTCCAGGATCCCCAGAGATGACAAGAAGCTCTAGAAACTATGGATCCGCCAGACATCTCAGGCTTTGGCCAGCCTGCGACCAGCTGAGCAACTAGGGCTGAGGGGAACAGCAGGGCCCCGCTGACTGCGAAACACCAGCTTCATTTTAAAGGGGCGGCAGGACTCGTGAGGAAGGAGAAAGGGAATTCAGGCTGAGGGTCACAGGCGCCAAGTGCAACCTCCTGCTGGCACTGAAGTCCTCACCCTCCAAATGCCAGAATGGCAGCTGCGTACCAGGCACACTGGGGCCAGAGAACAATCCACAGCTACACACAGCAGACACGAGGCCCGCCAGGCCAGCAGACTGCAGCCAGCCCAGCAGCAGCGGCCTGCCCTCCCAGCTCCCTTTGCCCCGCACACTGCACCAAGACATGGCGGCCCCAGGGCTATAGCAGGCAAGGGAAGAGACCAGATTGGAAGCAGGAGGCTGGGACGTGAAGACAGGCCGGAGGGGAGTCCGCCCTGCCTTAGGCCAGCAAGGGGACCTTTCGGGCATTCTGTGGCAGATCCCGCCATTCTCATCTTGCTACACGCCAGCTCCCGTTTGTCATGGCTAAGACAGGATGGCCAGTTTATTTGCTCCTTTGTTCTGAGTAGCCCTGGCCAGCCTCCAACTTATGATCTTCCTGCCTCAGACTCCCAAGAGCCAGGTATACAGGTATACCTAGCCTGAATGGCCATTTATGAAGACATTCTCTGCTCCAGGCCTCTAAGAATCTAATGTACGAAACCTCCTGTCACCTTGTCCATGCTTGCACTGAAAGATGTGGCATGGGACTGGAGACCTCCACCAAAACCAGTGACTGGCAGCTCAAGTGCAGTAAGGCACACAGCACTTCAAGGGGCCCAGTGCAGCTGGGGTCCCTGAGAGTCCTTCCACTGCAGGGCAGGATGAGCTAAACAGCTCTCAGGGGTGGCCCTCTCCCTGTGGATGGTGTTCCTCCCACTGGCCCGCAGCTTAAGCAAATGGGTTGGTGGGACTCAAGAGGCTAGTAAGGAGACACCTCGAATCCAGACGTGCTGACCAGCATGGGGGCCGCCAGTCACTGGAGGAGGTGTCACAGCTCACAAGGCAACTGCGTCTCCTTCAGTCCTATGTCCCAGACTGCCCAGCCCAGGGCCTGAGCCCCTCCCCACCCACACCGGTCACCTTCTTGCTCAGCTGCTGATTCTCCTTCTCCAGCTCCCCGCACTTGAGGCTGCTCTCCTCCAGCGCCAGCGATGCATCCCGCAGCCCCTGGATGGTGCTCTGCAGGCTCTGGTTCTCCTTCTCCAGCTTCAGGATGCGGCTGGAGGCGCACTCATTCAGCTCAAACACGAACGACTTCCTGGAGGCTGAAGCACCACATCAGTCAGACTCCGCTTCCCCTTGGGTTCCTCCAACTGACGCCCTGCAGCACGCACTGCTGCTTCGGCCAAAGGAGAAAGCAGGCTCTACTATGAGAGCAAAAGACCATGCGTGGGATGCACAGGAATGGCTGGTGGGCTGGGTTAAAGTGTTCATTCACGTAAGGGTTTCAGGGACCCAGAGACAATTCATAGGTGGGCGACATTTCCTGTGTCCCCTCCCAGACCGGTGGGAGGGCAGGGAGGGCAAAGGAAGTGACAGGCCTTCTGTCACAGGTGCTAGAAAGCTGTACCCCTGCTTGCCAGCCAGGACCAGAGCTTTGACACGGGGATTATTTCTTGTGACTTCACAATACTTTTGAAAAGAAAAGGGAGACGATAACACATGTAAACTGCTTTAAAAACTCTAAGTGAGATGAAAATATATGCTAAAGATTTCTAAAAGGAGCTGGACAGGCTCACGCCCGTAATCCTAGCTACTCAGGAAGCTGATATCTGAGGATCACAATTCAAAGTCAGACTGGGAAAGTCTATCAGACTCATCTCCAATTAACCAGCAGAAAACTAGAAGTAGAGATGTGGGTCAAAGTGGTAGAGTAATACTAGCCTTGAACAAAAAAGCTTAGAGACAAGGCCCAGGCCCCAAGTTCAAGCCCCATGACCAACTCCCCCTCACCCCTCCCCAAAAAAAAGATTTCTAAAAGGCAGATTATCTACTCTGCCTTTACTTACTTTTTTTGGGGGGGGGGTCGGTTGGAGGGCCTGAACTCTGGGTCTGGGCTAGTACTCTACCACTTAAGCCACAGTGCCACTTTCAGCTTTTTCTGCTTAAGTGGTGCTGAGGAACTGAACCCAGGGTCTCATGCATGCAAGGCAAGCACTCTACCACTGAGCCACGTTCCCAGTCCCTCTATTCTACATTATTTATTTATTTATTTTTGTTGGTTGTGGGTCTTTAACTCTGGGCCTGGGTGCTGTCCCTCAGCGCTTTAACTCAAAGCAAGCACTCTACCACTTCAGCCATAGCACCAGTTCCAGTGATGCTGCAGAACTTCAGGGAAGTCACGGCTTTTCAGCCTTGAAGCAAGGATAGAGGCATTCCCTCTGTCCTCCGCTGGCCCCGCTTATTTCTTGGAGCCTTTCACACCCACACCTCGGTGCCCTGGTTGCAGCCCAGGTGTTGGACAGATGGGGCAAAGCCATCAATCTGGACTCTATGCGAGGTGTGTGCTCGGGTCAAAGATGTTTGTTTCTGCCCTTGCATTTCCATCCTCTCCCCAGGCTTTGCATGCCTGCAAGGCCTGAATGGGAATGTATGAAAGAGCTGAAACCACAGCAGGCAACATAGCATGGGGGAGGACGTGCCCTGTGCTAGTGCCAACGTACAGACCAGGAGACCACTAGGTCTCAGTCCAAGTTCTGCTATGCAAAGAAGCTAGCCTAACCCAAACACCTAATCTAAAATAAAACTCCACAAATTCAGAACCTGAAGTCACTCAGTACCTCTGTCACATTTATAAAAAGAAAAAAAGAGCCGGATGCTGGTGACTCACACCTGTAATCCTAGCTACTCAGAAGGCTGAGACCTAAGGACCACAATTTGAAGCCAACTCGTGCAGGACAGTCTGACACTCTTATCTCCAATTAACCACCTCCAAACTGGAAGTGGAACTGAGACTCAAAGTTGTAGAGTGTAGCCTTGAGCAAAAGAGCTAAGGGACAGTGCCTAAGCCCTGAGTTTAAGCCCCATGACTGACAAAAAAAGAACAGAAGGAAGGAAGGAAGAAAGAAAAGAAGGAAGGAAGGGAGGGAAGGAGGGAGGGAGGGAGGGAGGCAGGGAGGGAGGGAGAAAGAGAGAGAGAAGGAAGGAAAGAGAAAACAAACTTTAAAAAGATAGAGGTAAAACAAGCACTGATGACTCACATCTGTAATTCTAGCTACTCAGGAAGCTGAGATCTGAAGAATATGGTTCAAAGCCAGCCCAGGCAGACAAATTCAAGAAACTCTTATCTCCAATTAACCAGCAAAAAGCCAGAGTAGAGTTATAGCTCAAGTGGTCATGGGCCAGCCTTGAGGAAGATAAATAAATAAAAGCTAAGCAAAAGTATAACCTTCCCCTCCCCTCTACCAAGTTCAAGCCCCAGTACTGACACAATAAATAGATAACAAATGGGAGCTTGGGGACATGGATCAAACTGTAGCAAGGACAAGGGCAAAACCCTGACCAAACCTTCCTACTACCAAAATGAAAAATAACACAAATACATTTTTTTTTATTGTAAAGATACTATACAGAGGGGTTACAGTTACATGAGTGAGGTAATGAGTACACTTCCTCTTGAACATTGTTACCCCCTCCATTGTTTTCCCCCTACCATCCCCTCCCTCCCTCCCTTCC